CAGCCTGGAAATATGAGATCCTGTCTCAAAATAACAAGGTTGATCTTTTTACTATTTCAGTTAGATAGGAAATGCTGACAGCTCTGGCCACCCTGCTGGGTTCTGCCTGTCTGGATACTAGGCATTGTGGGCCAGTTCTCTTAGATGGGCTGACAATGGCCAGAGGAAACCTGCAGAAAGCTGGCACGGCTGTCCTTAGTCACATGGGCAGATACTGGTGTTGCCACAGAACTTCCATGTAGGAGTCACATTACTACAAGGGGTTAAAGTACTTTTTGATGCTGTGCCTTGACCTTGTGTGTTGAGGGAGTGGGGGAACTCTGGGTGCAGACATTGACATCCCTCTGATGTTGTCTCTCTTCAATGAACCCTCTTTGTATGCCTCCAGTTGATGTCCTCAGGCCAGTGTATCTTCACTTCTTATCCTCGCTTGTTCACTGTCAGGTCAAGACTTGCTCTGGGCCCTGTGGTGGAGGTAAACACTGTTGAATGCACTTAACTCGCTACCAATGGAAACGATAGGCCTTTATTATAAGCACCCTTTTATAATGTTCATTTTTCCGCTAAGTAAGTTAAGATTTGGGGGGCTGTCTTAGGGTTTCTATTGCTATGAAGAGACATGACCACAGCAACTCTTAAAAAAAAAACAACACTAAATTGGGGCTGGCTTACAGTTTCATAATGGTTTAGTCAGGAAGCATGGCAGCACGCAGGCCAACATTGCTGGAGAAGGAGCTGAGAGGTCTCCATCCTGATCCACAGGCAACAGGAAGCTGTTCCACATTGGGCGTAGCTTGCACAGATGAGACCCCAAAGCCTGCCCCTAAGGTGACACACTTCTTCCAAAAGGCCACATCTACTCCAACAAGACCAAACCTAATAGTGCCACTCCCTATGGGTCAGGCATTCGAATACGGGCGTGAGTGGGGCCCATAACCTTTTCAAACCAGGGACCAACAGGATTTGACAGCTACTAAACTCTCCCTGGTACCCTGGCCTCCTTGAGCAGAGGATTATCAGCCAGGTAGCTGGCTCTGACTGGCTTCCTGGCTCTCATGCTGATTTGAACACTCCATGGATTCCTTGAGGAAGCTATACAACAACCACAGCAGACCTCCAACTCCTGAGCGATCATGGTGTCTTGACTGCTTCAAACAACTTGTGCTAGACCTTTGCCATCGTGAGCTTAGCCGCCGTTTAAACTCAGGACAGAAGGGGGAGACACTTTTCTGGTGGCTCCACAGAAGACCTGTGATTAGGCAAGCATGGTCGTCGAGCTGTTTGACTGACTATACCAAGATGGTGCAGAGGCCCTTGGCACAGCACCTGTTTAAGAAGTCAGTTCATGTTTACACTCAGCTGCAGGACACTGGCTTGTACTGAACCCTGGGGTGCAGCATCAGGTCAGGTGAAAGGCTTCTCCTGAAGGCTCTCTTCTTACCTACTCCGATCATGATTATTAGTAAAGTGGGGGTGGTGGTAACAAGTAGACACGGGCAGGGCCAGCAGCTGTGGCAGTGGCAGCAGTAGTAGCAGCAGCAGTTCTAGGGTGGCTGAAGAGTTCTTGAGAACGGCCAGGACAGAAACATGGGCATGGAGAAGGCAAACAAAGGGGCCAGAGAGCCAAAGGTGAAGAAAGAAAGGCTTTGAAGAGCTGGAGACCGGAAACCGCTAGCTCCAGTTGCCTGAAGAGTTCCAAGGAGCTGCCAGGTCTTAAGGGTGGCCGGTGGTGGTGGTGATCCTAGACACATCAGGCTTGAGAGCTGTGACACCAACCGCTGTAGGAGCTAAGGCTCTAATATTGAGGTTCCCTAGGGAGTGTAATGCAAGCCTTGGGCCACTTGTGATTAAAAGCCAGAGCAGTGAGCCTCCAACCTCAGGACCCAGAGACATAGCCTTAGGCTATTGAAACCTGGAGCTTGAGCTGTAAAGCTGCCATTCTAGCCCAGGGGCACCGGTGGTAGGAGGGGGTGGAGCTTGCCAGCTCTAAGAGAACTTTCCTTAGCTGTTCGCGGTTCTTCTCCAGACAGCAGAAGGACCCCAGCCACGCAAGTATGGACTTGCCCAACTACTCCCCTTCCCGTGCTGTGCGACCTCTGCCTTTCATCAGCTAGTATAACACTGGGGCTTTTGCAGCATTGGAGAACTGCAGCTAAGTTCTTCCCTAGAGGACAGAGCACAGGCAGAGGAGGCTGGTGGGAGGAGGAGCCCTCAAACATTACCTCCTGGTTTGACTCATGTCCCAAGACATCATAAAAAATAGCGCAGGAACTTGTATTTGGGTCAGTCTGACCATCTCGGTTTTGCCTTGAGAACTAACTTTTCCAAGGTTCTCTTCTAAGGAGAAGAAGTCTGGAACTTTCCACTGCCTGTTTACTCAGGACAGACTGTTTCCATTGGGAGGGACAGGACAGGACACAGATCTTGGGACTGAACTTCCAGAGATGTTTTTAACTTAATAAACAGGGTGGATTCACCATAGCTATGTGACTTACTCAGTGAACCATGAATCCCTGGAAAGCAGCTTGCAGCCCCCTGCTTGTGTGTGTGTGTGTGTGTGTGTGTGTGTGTGTGGCGGTACCTCATCCTCCCTGCCTAGCTCCTGAGGTCATCTTCATGGATACTTATGTAAAATAGATAATGCTCTCTATGGTGCGGTAGAGAGGCAGGAGCATGAAGGGAACAAGAAAGAGCGTGAGTGTCAGGGAGACCTATCCTAAGGTGACAGAGGATAGGTAGGAGAGTCTAAGTGCTGAGGCAGGACCCGATGATGCGGAAAGTATTGCGTCATCAGGGGCTTGTGGAGGCTTGTGGGCCAGCATAGGCTGGGAGTCATTCAATGGGGAACTTAAAAGAGCCCCACCCCCACCAAGGGTGGTGAATCCCTGTGCTCCCATTACAGGGTCAAAGAAGGGCCTGAAACCCACCATCCTTGCTTAATGTCAGAGGAAGGGTGGTGGTTTTCTGTTTGTTTGTTGTTGTCTTCTGAGCGTATGTGCTCTGAGAGCCCATTTGGTCCTTACTGGGACTCAGAAATGCTCTGAGCCCCCTGTTGCTCATGGGCACAACTCTAGATAGCAGCAGCCTAGAAACTTTTCTCCTGAAGGCCAGGTGCAGGCTGAGAAGGCTTGGCTGGAAGGATGAGAAGCAGGGTGGGCCAGGTGAGGGAGGGCAGAACCCAGCCCTGCTGGCCGCGCAGTGAGTGCACTGGTAGGGTGGTGTCGGTGTGCTAGCTACCCTTGGCGGTTTGAAGCTGATTCCTGTCTCTGCAGTGAAAAGGCCCTCAGCTTTGGCAATGCTCAAATTAACCTACAGGCAGCCGCCAGGGACTGGGGCTTTGAGTCTGATTGCAGGCCAGGCTCCTGGGACAGAACCAGCACCCATCCCTCCAGTTTGTATTGGTATTGGACACCTTCTTATGCCGGGCACTGTTGGACACAGGTCTGTCATTATGGAACTCACATGAAGGGGGGGGGGGAGTAAACACTAAAAAATGTGTGTGTGTGTCGTGTGTGTCTCTGTGTTGTGTCAGACAGTGAAGACGATTAAGATGGGGTCTGAGCTGGGGCTGTATAGCTTAGTGATAGAATTCTTGCTAGCATGCCCAAGATCCTGAGTTCCCGACGCTGTCCAGAAAGAAAGAAAGAAAGAAAAAGAAATTGGGGTGTGAGGGAGTAGATGGGACCGTTCTGTGGAGGTGATGAGTGTTTATTTGAATATAAAGGGAAGTCATCCAGGGCAAAAGCTTTGCTACTGTGACCTAGTAACTCAGAAAGCATGGATTTGATTGTTTTTGTTTTCTGTTTTTTCCCCCATCAGTTTTGCTATGATGTATAATTCTGTGTTTCTTCTTTTTGGGATTTGTTGATCTCCTTGGATCTTAATATTTTTTGAGACAGGGTTTCTCTGCGTAGCCTTGGCTGCCCTGGACTCACTTTGTAGACCAGGCTGACCTGGAACTCACAGAGATCTGCCTGTCTCTGCCTCCCTGAGCAGTAGGATGACAGGCGTGTGCCACCACGCCTTGCCCTCCCTGGATCTTAAAAATCAGTATCTTTTATCAGATGTAGAGACTTCTCGGCCATTTGTTCTTTCATTTCAAGTACACATCGCCTCTCCACTGCCCATGTCCAGCAGGGTGCTACCACAGGCGCTGGCATTTGTTAATGAAGAAATAAATGGTGGTGAAAGCCCCCACGCCCCATGCTGTGGCCAAGATGGATCGGCAGGCACCCACTGCCCCAGTCCAGCCGCCTCACCATCGACTGGAATCATTAGACCCAATACTGTACAACCAAGACCCAGTGAGCCTGCAGGAGAAATGCATAGCCTCTCTGCACCCTGGGAGCCAATCCCTCACCCGCAGACTCCAGGGGTCCACATATGCAGCTGGAATCAGGGTTAAGGGGAGAGCTAGTCCATGGAGGACTCCGTTCAGAATTGCCTCTTGGCTTGAGGGACCCTAGAGTTGTGAGGCAAGCTGCCCCCCCCCCCCCATTCTCTCTTCTTCCTCATACTGGATCTCTGAGTTGCCTTCCTTTCTTCCTTCCTTCCTTCCTTCCTTCCCTCCCTCCTTCTCTCCTTTCCTCCTTCCCTCCCTCATCCAGAGGCCAGAAGAGAGTCTGATTTCCTCCTGACATTTTCCATCTACTCCTTTTGTGGCAGGGTCTCTCCCCAAACTTGGGGCTTAAGTTTTCCTGACTAGGCTAGAAGCCAGCAAGTGTCAGTGATCCTGTCTCTGCCCCACATCAAGAGCTGAGGTTGCAGGTGTGTGGGAGATACCTGCTTTGTTGTGTGAGTGCTGGGACCCCAACTTTGGTCCTTTGGATTGCCCAGCAATCACTCAACCAATGAGCCATTTCTCCAGCCCTGAGTTGCTTTCTAAGGCACACAGAGGACTTCCTGGGAGCTGCCTTTAGGCTGGTAGACCCACAGTTGTGGACATGAGTCTGTGGGGCTGCCCGTGCTGTCCCTTTGACATCTTGACCCCCTTTCTTCAGCTACAGATTTGGGACACGGCTGGCCAGGAGCGGTTCCGAACCATCACCCAGAGCTACTACCGCAGTGCCAATGGGGCCATCCTTGCCTATGACATCACCAAGAGAAGCACCTTCTTGTCCGTGCCTCACTGGATCGAGGATGTGAGGAAGTACGCGGGCTCCAACATAGTGCAGCTGTTGATTGGTGAGCTGGGACAGGGGCTGGGAGCAAGCCTTCCGTCTGCTTCCCCCATTTTCTTTTCCACAACAGGGGCAAGCCTACAGGGCGGGGCTGAGCTTGGCCAGGAAGGGAGCCAGAAGTTCAACCAATAGTTTGGGAATCCTGATTGCCCTTGTCGGTTTCAAAGTTAGACTCAAAGTTGAGATTAGAAGGCTAGAAGGGTGCTGGAGTCTGCTTTGCAGTCCCTGTGTGCCAGACCCGTTATAGCTCTAAAACTGCCTATCATGCTCAGAGGAGCTGTGTGACTGGGTTGCCGCTCGGAGCTCCAGCACTTAGCCAGTGTGCTCGGGGCCCTACTGAGCACTGCAGAGGGGAAAAAAGCAATAAAAAGAAAATAAGCGGAGAGGCCACAGAGTAAGAACATTTTTTTCCATTTTAAAATTACATTTAGTGTGTAAGTGCCCTTGAGCATGTGTGCGTGCACGCGCGGATGCAGTGTCAGCACGTGCAGCAGCCGGAGGGCGGCTTGCCAGTCAGTCTGTCCTTCCACCAAGCAGGCGCTGGGACCGAACCAGGCCCCTGACTTGCTAACAGGTGTCTCATCTATCTATCTATCTATCTGTCTGTCTGTCTGTCTGTCTGTCTGCCTGCCTGCCTGCCTGCCTGCCTGCCTACCTACCTACCTACCTACCTACCTACCTACCTACCTACCTATCATCCATCTAGGATGTCTAGATGGTATACACATGCCCAAAGCACATGTGTGGAGGACGAAGGACAGCTTCCAGTCCTCCACCCCTTCCTCCATGTGGGTCCTGGGGATTGAATCAGTTACTTAAACAGAGAGCCCTTCGGCTCACTCGGTCAGCTTGCCAGCTGAGCGTGAGAGCGTTCACATAACAAAGGCACCTGACATGGTGGCTGCACCTGTCCGGCTCTCAGGAGACTCAGGCAGGAGGATTGCTTTAGTCGACAAGTACAAGTCTAGCCTGGACAGCCCAGTGAGAACCCTATCTATCTATCTATCTATCTATCTATCTATCTATCTATCTATCTATCTATCTAT